CATTTGAGTCCTGGAAAGCTAAATCAAATGCCCAACGCAAGAGTCCTGGTAAGCCAGAACAACTGCCCAACACTAATGGGAGGCTCAAAAAACTGCCCAACACTAAAGGGCTTGAGTCTTGGGAAGTTCAAATAGCTGCCCAACACCTGTTGCTGGAGTCTTGGGAACCTAAATCAACTGCCCAACACCTCAGTCCTGGGAAGCCAAATCAACTTCCCAACATTTGAGTCCTGGGGAGCTAAATCAAATGCACAACGCAAAAGTCTTGGGAAGCCAGAATAACTGCACAAAACTAATGGGAGGCTCAAAAAATTAACCAACACTAAAGGGCTTGAGTCTTGGGAGGTTCAAATAGCTGCCCAACACCTGTTGCTGTAGTCCTGGGAACCTAAATCAACTGCCCAACACTTCAGTCCTGGGAAGCCAAATCAACTTCCCAACATTTGAGTCCTAGCTCTACCGTTTTTTGGACTCAGTATGTCAACATATGAGAGGGCATTGAAATCTTCAGTCTAAAAACTTTGGATCCATTGCGTAAAAGTTTGAGACCGGGGCACAAGTTTTCAAAATCACAGCATAGCCCTTCGAATTCAAAGAACTATAGACAAAAGTTTACTCCATTGAGAGGTTTCCAATCGTTTGAAACTGTACAAAAAGCAACTTTATTACCTGTACTGTACCATGGTTAGCCGACCAAACAGTCATCAGTCCGATGACATTTTTTTCAGCTGGAACAAAAGCAAAAAGAAACTCAAAATTTTCCAACAAACTACTGTTCACAATTGAAAATTTTGCTACTTGAATCATGAGAGTATTTTTGCTACTTGAATCATGAGAGTAAAAAAAGTCTGAATAAATAAGCTGTTTTTCTAAATAGAAAGTATTTTATAAGATACTTCAAAATAAAAGCATTTGGTGAGATGATCTTGGGGTGGTTGTACCCATAAATTTTTTTGTTACCTACTTCAGTTCGGTTTTTTCACTTTTTTCCAGAGAGAAGTGAGAAGGAATGCAAAGATTTTTCTTCAAAATTGTTTTAAAAGAGTAGGGTCATTAAAAATTTTGTATTCATTTTGGAAGGCTAGTGTAACTATAGAAGTCTAGGACCTGCTTGCGGAGAACCTGTTTGTAAGTTTTGCCGAATTGAACAACTGAGCCAAATATTGCACATCGGAAAAATACTGAGCCATTGAAAAGCCATTATTGAGATCTTTGGGATAATTTTCCGAGGCAAAATAATCTCTTGGCTCCATGGATTGGGTCAATTTGTCAGTGGGGGTCAATACTGACTTAATTTTATCAGAAACAACCTGATCACTCTGAGGAAGATCCACATTGTTACTAGTTGTTGACAGCAGATTATGCGTTTCCGAGCAACTTGTTTCTGTCTTAACACTATGTTGAATAATCTTTTGGGGGGGTCAACATCTTCTTTAAAAACCTAAAGGGTTTGTACGAGAGGCATTTTGAGGGATTTTTCTTTTGTTTGAATCAGCCCCAAAAAAAATATAATCAACCCCAAAAAAAAATCTCAATATGCACAGTAACTCTTCTAGGATTTTTAGAAAAGATTTTCTAATGCAATACTGTGGGGGTCAATACTGACTTAATTTTATCAGAAACAACCTGATCACTCTGAGGAAGATCCACATTGTTACTAGTTGTTGATAGCAGATTATGCGTTTCCGAGCAACTTGTTTCTGTCTTAACACTATGTTGAATAATCTTTTGGGGGGCTCAACATCTTCTTTAAAAACCTAAAGGGTTTGTACGAGAGGCATTTTGAGGGATTTTTCTTTTGTTTGAATCAGCATCAAAACCACTGTCTGGACTAGTGGAACGGGTGAAAAGTAGTAAGCCTCGCAATTTTGAACACGCAACTACATTGATTGGATTAAATGACTGTTTTTCAATTGAACTGGACGCAAAAGAATATGTCAATACTTTAGAGAAATTAGCTTTTTATTAAATCAAAAATTTAACCCCAAAAAAAATCTCAATATGCACAGTAACTCTTCTAGGATTTTTAGAAAAGATTTTCTAATGCAAATGTTCAGAAACTTAACCAGAAGTTTTCAAAATTAGTTTAAAATACGGAGGAATTGGTCGATGTAAAGTTAGATTTTTTAGACGTTATCAAGGCTTTAGTGCAAACATTTTGAGGTTCTTTTAGTAACTCTTCATTGTTATCAAGTTCATATGAAAAAGTAACTACGCTGAAATGAAACAATCTCATCAGATACCCAAATTAGATCCAAAAACCGCAGATATGCTCTTCAAAACGGTGCAAGATTTCTCAGAAAAAAATATTTTTGTGTTTTTTGTTCTTAGTTTAGACTATGGCGATTAAAATTTATTCTTTTAAGCCAATCTGTGATGCTTAATAATAAATTTTATTATTTTATTTGCGCTTTTAATCGGTATATATCGAATAGAAAAACTGGTTTCTGAGATATTTAAGCTCCCGAAAAAACGTTTCCATAGTAAAACCGAAAAGGGTGCGCGGTGATCACCCAAACTGACTGATTTTTTCATAATTACTTTGTAAGTCACACGAAGTGAAGATTTTGAAACTAATCCAGTTAACAAGAAAAACATTTGCTAAGTGTCTCCTCACTTCTGAACATAGTTCAGCAAAAATGGATTTTATCAACCAGGTTTGTAGTTCCTGTTCAAGCATCAGAATAGTTACGCGATACGTTACTCGTTCAATGAAATAATAACACAGTATAAAAAAACTCCAAAGCGTTTTAACTGTGTATTTTCAAACTTAGGCCGATTTTTTGGCTCTTTTTAGTCTCATCCTTATATTCCAGTTAAGTCTGAGCTTCCACACCTTTCATTTTCAGCACATAACAGTGAAACAATGCTATGATGTACTTTAAGAATGTACGGTCAAAAAAGCTTTTTGACCTTCTAGCGAACCTGATTGGCAATAACCGATGGCCAGTCAATAATTGTGACATTTACTTTTGCTATTATTGCCTGCATAGATGAGAAAATTTTTCCAACTGAACTAAAGAGAGCAAAGTTCACACCCTTGTGAATTATTGCCATATTTTTTGCAAAAACTGTCGCCCTAGTTCAAAAACATGTGCGTTTTCCGAAATTGTTGAACAAACTATCCATGCTCAAATAACAGAGCATTTGAACAAATACCAAAAATTGACACCCTTTCATTTTGGATTTTCCAAGAAGTTCTCATCATAATATGCCTTGATTTACGTTATAGAAAGTATCCGAAAGGAAACAGATTCTAAAAAAAGAAACAGAAAGGAAACGGATTCTCCAAATTCTCATGCAGCTTTATTGGATCTTTCAAAGGTTTTCGAAATCATTTCACAAATTGTTTTAGAAAAAAAATTACATTGTTGAAATTTTTAAAGGAAGCAAATGCATTAATTAAAGAATTCATCATTGAACGCCTTCAAAGAGTGAACGTGAATGAAGTTTTTTTCTGACTAGCTTAAAGTTATAAGATGCATGAAACGAGGCACTGTACTAGGTACATTGTTGTTTAAATTATATATCATTGATATACAAAAACAAGTATCTCTTGAACTTTGGTATAATATGCAGATGACTGTATAAGATTTTTATTATCCCTAATTTCACTTGATGCGTTGAGTCAATTACAACATTCCTTGCTCCAACTCACTATTTTTTTGCCATAAATCAGTTCAATTTGAATGCAATCAAAATCAGAATTTGTAACATTTTATCAAAAACGATAGACAGAATGTGAAAATTGACTAACTGATTATGAATGACCAATATTTAGCAGATAAAATTGAATGCTATTTTTTAAATCTGTTGCTTGATTCTATTCGTTTTTTTTTCAATCTCAAACGAAAAAAAAATTGCAAGACTTGGCCCAAAGAATTAAAATGATATATACAATTGGACTAAAACTTCCCAGATTGCCTTTGATTGCTTTGCTTCAATGTTTAGTTTTCAGCCAATTAGGTTAAGCAGCGATGTTTTTGAAGACAATTAGTGCAACTTAATGATGTACATAGAAAAACAGTTGAGTTGGGCTTCGGAACGCACACTTTTCAGATCAAAATTTAAACCTTTTGCCGCACTACGGAAAAGTGAACCATTCATCGGAATTGAGAGTAGATTTGAACTGAAATGTGTTACATATCTATATCAGTATCTCACTAACAAAAAGCAAGCTTTACAAATGCATTGAGGCTACCGACTGCGATTTATAGAGTAAATCTACGAACAAAGATAACCACTGAACATGATAACCACTGTTCAACTGCTTCTCTACAAAAAAGTTTCCTTTTCATCTGACGTCGAAAAAGTGAAATTCATTGGCCAGTAAATTACAAATTTTTGAACTTACCACATCAACTTTCGAAAAAATGAAAGAAATCTACAGTACTCAAATGAAATCTAACGCTACATGTACGCATATCAATACATGGCGTGAATTCCGTTACATTCGTTGATTGCAATTATATGTTCAGTTTTGACAAGGTTTTAGTAATTTTACATCGTTTATATTTTAAGTTGTTTCATCTCATTTTATACAAACATGAAAAATTAATCTGACTTTGTAGCTAATTTTAACACACTTTTACTATAATAAGGCACTGACTAATCTGTAAAGTAAGTAAAGTGTTTCTTCTTCTTCTTCTTCTTCTTTAAGTCAAAATAAGGAGTTTTTTGTCTTCATTGAAGAAACACCAGTCCACATGATGTACTTTGTCTTGATTTCTAGGTAAATTCCAATTTTAACTCTACACTTTTAATGTAATAATACATTGACTAATCTGTAAAGTAAGTAAAGTGTTTCTTCTTCTTTTTCTTCTTCTTCTTCAAGTCAAAATAAAGAGTTTTTTGTCTTCATTGAAGAAACACCAGTCCACATGATGTCCTTTGTCTTGATTTCTATGTAAATTTCAAGTTCAACATACTTGCAACATTGAAACAAAAAAATGCACCATCCCTCATATTGAAGGATAGTATTTTTGAACTGTATGACCAGTCTTATTAAATTTTTGCTGTTAGATTTTTAAGAGGAGTTTATTGTGGATAGTCATTTTCAGTAGTACAGCTCAAGAGCCAGTCGGTCAAATTCTGAAGTTTCTTGTTGATTTCAAGGTGAAATGTTTTTTTTTTTCAAAAAATTTGAATTGGCCATGTCATGCTCAAATTTGTCGCAGCAACTGAAATGAAAAAGTCAGAACATCAGAAAAAAAACGATTAAAAATAGCGGGAAAATTGACCGCAAAACGGTCTGGCGGCAAATTGCTATTCGCATTGTGTCCAATAACTACCCATTCGAGTGGAGCTGTCTTGTTCCCGATAGAGAACACCACGAGATCTTACGAGAGTGCCATCACTGAAAAAAAAACTCATTCATTGGGTAGGTCGACTAGTGAAGCGAATCAATGGTCAAGACGAAAAAGCCTCTTCAGTTAAAACCAATCAACGCTATTAATTTTCTCGAGTTATCCTAATTAACCTAATTAATCGGTTCCTGAGCCGTAGTCACTCTGTGAGTACTGAATTTATTTTCTAGAGTGCATTTTACTTTGAGATAAGGCGGGTTTTAGATTGATCTAATTGAAATGAATCAAAGTTCCACCGTCCGATATAAACCTATGGTATTCACTTTATACTCCAGGAAATAGGTATAAAACTGACTCGAGCAAACGTTTTTATTTTAGCAGAGCTTGGAAACAGAATCTACAGGATTTCTCTTGGGTGGTTTAGCCGCATCGCGCTTGAAGGGTTTTTCCACTTAAGTGTGAGTGGGGCTATGAAGGGAGGAAGTTAGACAGGGGGTTGGCTAGGATACGAATTGCGGTTGAAAGTTGCAAAAAGCGGGTTCTTTTTACTGTAAGCAAACAAACGCCAACGTCAATTTGTATATATTTTAAAAATCAGAGTCCGACTGCAATAAAGATAAAAACAAGAGCTGAAACGCGAAGGTACCTCAAAGCGAACTGGAAATACAAAAGGTAGTCTGGCTGAATTGTGTGGGGTGATCGGAGTTAAATTTCAATTCTAAGAAACCAATAAGGCAAAGAATCCCACACAACAACAGTAGTGGAGATAACGCGTGACAACCAGGTACTAGACAATTTTTTTAAACGACAGTTTTTTGATAGTTGATGTAATACATTTGTTTTGAGATTTTTGAACACTTCTTGAGTTTTTACTTAGTCGGACTTCAAAATTTGGAATCTTTGTAAATCAAACGTTTTTAATCTTGGAGAACTTTCAAAGAAAACCTGGTGTTAGAAAACCGATCGATTGCAATTGATTCAGGGACAGGAAAAAAGTGTGTGGACATTTCATTCGATTTTTGGCAGCAATAGTGGGGGGTAGGACATTTTACACGAGGTACAATTGAGTCCTGGAAAGCTAAATAAACTGCCCAACGCTTGAGTTCTAGAAAACAAATGCCCAAAACTGGGTTGCTGGAATCCTGGGAAGCTAAAACAACTGCCCAACACTTGAGTCCTGGGAAGCTGAAACAACTGCATAACACTGGTTTGCTGGAATCCTGGGGAACTAAATCAACTGTCCAACGCTTGAGTCTTGGGAAGCTTAAACAGCTGCCCAACAACTGCGTGCTGGGAAAATAAGACAACTGCCCAACACTGATTTCCTAGAGTCCAGGTAATCTAAACCAACTGCCCAACACTTGAGCCCTGGCAAGCTAAAACAACTGCTCAACACCTATTGCTGAAGTTCTGGGAACCTAAACCAACTGCCAAACGCATGAGCCCTGAGAAGATCAACTTCCCAACATTTGAGTCCTGGAAACTAAATCAACTGCCCAACGCAAGAGTCTTGGGAAGCCAGAACAACTGCCCAAAACTAAAGGGCTTGAGTCTTGGGAAGTTCAAATGGCTGCCCAACACCTGTTTCTGGAGTCCTAGGAACCTAAATCAACTACCCAGCACCTCAGTCCTGGGAAGCCAAATCAACTTCCAAACATTTGAGTCCTAGAAAGCTAAATCAACTGCCCAACGCAAGAGTCCTGGTAAGCCAGAACAACTGCCCAACACTAATGGGAGGCTCAAAAAACTGCCCAACACTAAAGGGCTTGAGTCTTGGGAAGTTCAAATAGCTGCCCAACACCTGTTGCTGGAGTCTTGGGAACCTAAATCAACTGCCCAACACCTCAGTCCTGGGAAGCCAAATCAACTTCCCAACATTTGAGTCCTGGGGAGCTAAATCAAATGCACAACGCAAAAGTCTTGGGAAGCCAGAACAACTGCCCAAAACCAATGGGCGGCTCAAAAAACTGCCCAATTCCAAAAGGGTTTGAGTCTTGGGAAGTTCAAATAGCTGCCCAAAACCAGTTGCTGGAGTCCTGGGAACCTAAATCAACTGCCCAACACCTCAGTCCTGGGAAGCCAATTCAACTTCCCAACATTTGAGTCCTGGGAAGCTAATTCAACTGTCCAACGCTTGAGTCTTGGGAAGCTTAAACAGCTGCCCAACAGTTGCGTGCTGGGAAGCTAAGACAACTGCCCAACACTGGTTTCCTAGAGTCCAGGTAATCTAAAACCAACTGCCCAACCCTTGAGTCCTGGCAAACTAAAACAACTGCCCAACACCTGTTGCTGAAGTTCTGGGAACCTAAATCAAATGCCAAACACTTGAGCCCTCAGAAGATAAATCAATTTCTCAGCATTTGAGTCCTGGAAAGCTAAATCAACTGCCCAAGGCAAGAGTCTTGGGAAGCCAGAACATCTGCCCAAAACCAATGGGAGGCTCAAAAAACTGCCCAACTCTAAAGGGCTTGAGTCTTGGGAAGTTCAAATAGCTGTCCAACACCTATTGCTGGAGTCCTGGGAACCTAAATCAACTGCCCAACACCTCAGTCCTGAGAAGCCAAATCAACTTCCCAACATTTGAGTCCTGGGAAGCTAAATCAACTGTCCAACGCTTGAGTCTTGGGAAGCTTAAACAGCTGCCCAACAGTTGCGTGCTGGGAAGCTAAGACAACTGCCCAACACTGGTTTCCTAGAGTCCAGGTAATTTAAACCAACTGCCCAACCCTTGAGTCCTGGCAAACTAAAACAACTGCCCAACACCTGTTTCTGGAGTCCTAGGAACCTAAATCAACTGCCCAACACTTCAGTCCTGGGAAGCCAAATCAACTTCCCAACATTTGAGTCCTGGAAAGCTAAATCAACTGCCCAACGCAAGAGTCTTGGGAAAACAGAACAACTGCCCAAAACTAATGGGAGGCTCAAAAAACTGCCCAACACTAAAGAGCTTGAGTCTTGGGAAGTTCAAATAGCTGCCCAACACCTGTTGCTGGAGTCTTGGGAACCTAAATCAACTGCCCAACACCTCAGTCCTGGGAAGCCAAATCAACTTCCCAACATTTGAGTCCTGGAAAGCTAAATCAACTGCCCAACGCAAAAGTCTTGGGAAGCCAGAAAAACTGCCCAAAACCAATGGGAGGCTCAAAAAACTGCCCAACTCTAAAGGGCTTGAGTCTTGGGAAGTTCAAATAGCTGTCCAACACCTATTGCTGGAGTCCTGGGAACCTAAATCAACTGCCCAACACCTCAGTCCTGAGAAGCCAAATCAACTTCCCAACATTTGAGTCCTGGGAAGCTAAATCAACTGTCCAACGCTTGAGTCTTGGGAAGCTTAAACAGCTGCCCAACAGTTGCGTGCTGGGAAGCTAAGACAACTGCCCAACACTGGTTTCCTAGAGTCCAGGTAATTTAAACCAACTGCCCAACCCTTGAGTCCTGGCAAACTAAAACAACTGCCCAACACCTGTTTCTGGAGTCCTAGGAACCTAAATCAACTGCCCAACACTTCAGTCCTGGGAAGCCAAATCAACTTCCCAACATTTGAGTCCTGGAAAGCTAAATCAACTGCCCAACGCAAGAGTCTTGGGAAAACAGAACAACTGCCCAAAACTAATGGGAGGCTCAAAAAACTGCCCAACACTAAAGAGCTTGAGTCTTGGGAAGTTCAAATAGCTGCCCAACACCTGTTGCTGGAGTCCTGGGAACCTAAATCAACTGGCCAACACCTCATTCCTGGGAAGCCAAATCAACTTCCCAACATTTGAGTCCTTGGGAGCTAAATCAACTGCCCAACGCTTGAGTCTTGCGAAGCCAGAACAACTTCCCAACACTAATGGTTGGGTCAAAAATTGCCCAACACTAAAGGGCTTGAGTCTTGGGAAGTTCAAATGGCTGCCCAACACCTGTTTCTGGAGTCCTAGGAACCTAAATCAACTGGCCAACACCTCATTCCTGGGAAGCCAAATCAACTTCCCAACATTTGAGTCCTGGAAAGCTAAATCAACTGCCCAACGCAAGAGTCTTGGGAAAACAGACCAACTGCCCAAAACTAATGGGAGGCTCAAAAAACTGCCCAACACTAAAGAGCTTGAGTCTTGGGAAGTTCAAATAGCTGCCCAACACCTGTTGCTGGAGTCCTGGGAACCTAAACGAACTGCCCAAAACTTCAGTCCTGGGAAGCCAAATCAACTTCATAACATTTGAGTCCTGGAAAGCTAAATCAACTGCCCAACGCAAGAGTCTTGGGAAGCCAGAAAAACTGCCCAAAACCAATGGGAGGCTCAAAAAACTGCCCAACTCTAAAGGGCTTGAGTCTTGGGAAGTTCAAATAGCTGCCCAACACCTGTTGCTGGAGTCCTGGGAACCTAAATCAACTGCCCAACACCTCAGTCCTGAGAAGCCAAATCAACTTCCCAACATTTGAGTCCTGGGAAGCTAAATCAACTGTCCAACGCTTGAGTCTTGGGAAGCTTAATTAGTTGCCCAACAGTTGCGTGCTGGGAAGCTAAGACAACTGCCCAACACTGGTTTCCTAGAGTCCAGGTAATCTAAACCAACTGCCCAACCCTTAAGTCCTGGCAAACTAAAACAACTGCCCAACACCTGTTTCTGGAGTCCTAGGAACAGAAATCAACTGCCCAACACTTCAGTCCTGGGAAGCCAAATCAACTTCCCAACATTTGAGTCCTGGAAAGCTAAATCAAC